AAAATTTTGAATATGGTATCAAAAATACCCTTGGATGTACAGTAGCCTTCTCCCCCAACCAACCAGAGACACTAAAAGGTCGGGTTCTCTGTACTACTCTAATTCAGTGAACCATAATGCTAATGTTAATCCAAACAACCGAATCAATTATATTACTCCAATACCCTTAGCTCAACTCATGGTCGACCACTTGATAGATGCTTTTAAGTTAATTTTGGTTAAGAGTTTGATACTACTTACAAGATGAAAATACTCCTTAGGAGTTAGGACCATCTGTTCTAGATTTAACCCTTACATGTAGAGAGGAGGTCTTACGCATAAGCCTAAATTGATTAACAGTCACGGGTCCAAATGGGCTGAGAGAGTGAGGGATTCTTGGGTTACTATAATTCGTATGAAAAATGTTATTTGGACAAAAAATATAGATAATATTTATTGACTCCCTTCATTACAACCATCGAATAAATAATAGAACCCACAATTAATTGAATACTCTCTCCATTCCTAAATATGTGATGTTTTACACAATTTTTTTTAATTCATAATATCTGACTTTTAATGAAACAAAAGCTAAATTAATATTTTTTCTTCCAAATTTACCTTTATCCCTGTTTTTCAATAAGTGTTTAATAACTGCACGCAATAATTAGTTTTTTTTTAACTTTTCAATGATTCAAATTAGGTGTAGGTTCAGTGATTTCATATTCCTTTCCTTCCCACTGCATATTCATAATGGTGGCAATCTTAATATGCAATATATATGTGATATTGCAAATGCTTTTGCATCTCTCTAAAGAGAAAAAAATGACAGGAGGTGAAGACGCCATAGATTTGGATTCTCCAAAAAAGAAGAAAGTTGCGATAGATTTCTCTTTCAATGGATTTGCATATCACAGATTTGATTTGAACAAGGTTCCTGATGAAGGAGAAGAAGCTTTTCAAGAAAGAAAACTCCAACAAGTGGCCAGAATCATGTTAAAATTTTATCTTCCCAACTTTTACTAGGAATATCATGTATGGAGATTGATTTTTTATCCCTGAAACTGTAGGTTTATTTTTTCTTTGTTGCTCTGCAAAACATGTTTTAGCTCTTCATCAATAATGCCAGCAGGGAAGAAACATTGCCCAACCAAATAAATTTAGTAGCTGAGAAGCTTTGGTCTCAAGATGTCATGTCATATTCAAACTGTTACTTGCTAATTCCCTCGTTGAGCTTATAAGGAATAACATTGAATTAGAAGTACACAAACATCAAAATGGCCAGATTAATCAAAAAAATTGTTCACAGCTATAACAAATATTACCACTAGAGCTATTAATCAAATTAAGCTACTCGAGTTTGGCTTAAGTTCAGCTCGGATTCGGCTCATTCAGGTTTGGTTCGTTTTTTAAACGAGTTCAAACTTAAACAAGTTTTTAGGCTCATTTAAAAAACAAGCCCTACAAGCTCAGTTCAAACTCGACAAGCTCGGCTTGTTTTTTAAACGAGCCAAACTTGAATAATCTTTAAAGCTCGATTAAGAAACAAGCTTTTCAAACTCGGCTCAAATTCAACTCGGGTTCGTTCGACTAACAACCCTAATTACCACTTGCGCATCTCATACATAAAACCCCACACCACATTAATTTCGGTTTTATTAAGTGATGGTATTTTAGTTTTGGGTAATTATTTTTTACTCATATTAGAACTATTTAATAGTTTATTTAATCCCTGTGTAAAAACTTTAAACCTAACATATTTAGGAATGAAATGAGTAATAATTATGTTAGAAGTCAATAAATATTGTTAATATTTTTTTGTTCAAATAAAATTATTGAATGCGTATAATAAAATCAACTAATGCTACTTGTTGTAGGTATAAAAAGAAAAGTTGACAACTTATTTGTAAGGAAGAAATTGTGGGTGGGACCCGAATTTTTAATACATGAATATGGTTGTAAGAAGAAATAAACTTATTGTGTATTTTAACCATTCCTATCCCTATAACAATCTACGTGGTGATCTAAACAATTGTCATTTGAATTCGTAATATGTATTGTAGCTAGCCTTTGGTTAGGAGCACTTGTGTGACTCATTCAATATCTTTCTTTTTTTCTTGAAGTACTTAATTCATGCACAACAAAAGAGGTGGTTCCGTAAAAGAAATAACTTAGTCTCTAAATTTTTATAATTGATTAATGTGGGAACTTTGGGGTTATTGTATAATGGAGTGAGATTTAAATCAATGTATAGATTTCTTCAAATTTTGATAAGTCATTCACTATAAAAGAATGGAAAACTTAGTAGATCCCTCATTCAATCATGAGGACGACATATAATTGAGCAAAATTACACGTAATTATATTTACAAGAAACTTGAATTTTATAGTGTATCACTTGTATTCAAAAGGATAACGTCCTATAATAATAGTGAGATTCATTTAATAATTTTAAAATAAAATTATCAAATTATGGTATTTTTGGATTTATTTATCAAAATACGATATGTTTTTTAAAAAACGAAGTTGTTGATTCCGCTTTTTAATGAAAAACTAAGTTAACAATCTCATTTTTATTAAAAAAATAGGGTTAACAACAGGGGTGACTCAAGATAATTTAGAGTCTAAATCGATACTTTTAAATGAGACATTTTATGTTTAGTGTTAATATTTTTTGGTTCTAAATCATGTCTCTTATGTTACAATGAAAACTCGAGTTGATGATGAATGGAGTGGAGGCCAAATCACCGTCACCGAGTCAGTCACCTGAGTGTTCTGTAACTGTGAGTTCTCCGCTGTAGCACTTCGAAAAAAAATGATCTAACTAACGGGTTCTGTGAGTTATCAAGTCTTAAGAGCACTGTGAGAGAGAGAGGGAATAAGAAGAGTTAATTTTTTTGTTTCAGTTTAATGAGTGAGAGAGAGAAAAAAAATTGTTTTTGTATAGTTGATTTAGTTGGTTTTCACACACATGGAGACAGAGACAGAGAGAGATGGAATGTTAAAAAAAGATATGATTCATTCGACTTTTAGATTATTTTAGTGGCTTTGATATGACCTTGTAGTTTTTTTTTTTTATATTGTTAATTTTTTTTTAGATATTTAATGTTTGGATTGAATTATGAACCTAAAATGGTTGATTGACTTATATTTTTATAAAGTTTTTTTTTACATGAGTTATTTGTAATGTTTAAAAATTTGGGGTCTTCCTTTGAAATGGGGCCTAAAACCCAAATTTTTTTACACCTGCTGTTGGACCGGCCCTGGTCAACAATTCCGTTTTTAATCTCTGATCGAACAATTAGTCAGATGCCAAAAAAAAAAGTGTAAAGTTTAATGAATTCACTCTTAGAAATAGAAATATTAACTCCGCTTGAAAGGTATCGTAATTAATAAATAAATATAAAAAAATAAAATTTCATAATTTTAGTTTAAAATTACCATAAATTGGTACTTAACCTATCTTCATTTGAAGTAACTCCTTTATTAAAATAAGAAGAGCATCCGTTGACGAAGAGTGTGGAAAAAACAAAAAGGATTAGAGTGATATGGGTCCCTTAATACCACTATTCTTTGTTTTTTTTTTCTCCTTAATCAAGGTGAAGTTTCCGATTATCCATAATCTGATTTGTTCAATCTACTTGTCCAATCGACACGTTCAAAGGCATCACCAATTATTAATTAATTAATTCTTTGTCCTGATTAAATATTAGATGTACCCATCTAATAAAAAAATAATATAAAAAATAAAATAAAATTATTTTTTATTATAGTGAAATAGTGTTTGAAACTGCCCCCACCACTACCTCTACCACCACCATCACCCCCACCACCACCATGGTCGTCGGCACCACCACCACCGTCGCCACTGCCCCCGCCACCATCGTCGCCACCGCCACCACCACTACCACCATCATTGTCGTTCTCGCTGCCACCGCCGCCACCACTGTCATTGTCACCCACCACAATCATCACCGTCTTTTACCACCATCACCTCTCACCTTCATTATAAGTCGATGCTTAAATTCTTTTATTTCTTCTTTATATTTATGATTTGATTTTGGATATAAACACAAATAAGTTTATTATTTTTTATTACTCTATGCTTTCAGGTGCAGGCAATAACTAGTACTATATAATAAAGTAGCTAATAATTCAAATTTCAAAAGATAAACAAAATGACTTTTGTTTTTCGAGGTTGAGATTGTTTTAAATTTTACTTTAAAGTTAATTTAACGGCTAATATTAACACTCTAAATTTAATAGGAAAAATAGACTTGTAAGAGTGTGTTTGGAGTGACTTTTTAAAAGTATTTTTCAAAAATTATTTATCATAAATACTTTAAAAAAAATAGTGTTTGAAACCACCCCACCACTACCTCTACCACCACCACTTAGCCACCACTATCACCATTGTCGTCGCCACCACCACTACCATCGCTGCTGCCTTAGCCACCACCACCACTATCGTCGCCGCCCTCGATACCACCACCGTGACCACGGTCATTGCCACCTACCACAACCATCATCGTCTCCTACAACCACCACCGTCGCCCACCACTTCTCACCCCCCACTACAAATCGATATTTAAATTTTTTTATCTCTTCTTTATATTTGTAATTTGATTTTGAATATAATATAAATATATTTATTGTTTATCATTTTTGATTACTTTGTGTTTTCAAGTATAGACAATAACTAGTATTATATATTATAAATTTGCATCCCAAATTAACATGGACAATTAAATAAGTGAGTCTTATCAACTTTTTTAAATGAAAACTACTGATCCAATGATTCTTATTAATTTAAAATACAAATTTAAATTATAAATTTGAATTACGTACCATTCTTTTATTTATTTACTAACAGGTACCCTCAACATTTTTTCGTTTACAACGGAGAGACGAACACATCCTTCCTTGTTAGCCAGCAAAGCAGTCACAATTGCCGTTATTTCAGGTAAAGCCCTATTCTCAAAAAGAAAAAAAAGAAAAAGGGTAAAGCCGAAGGATATTCCCGTAATTCCACCATCCCTTGTGCCAGGCCGGTAAAGCAGGAGAGAGAGAGAGAGATTTACACGGAGATTTACACGGCGCCAGAAAACGAAAGGGGAAGGCGAACAACGAAGAAGAAAGAAAAAGCTGTGAACATTCTTCCCCCCATTCTCTCTCTACAAAAATCGAACCGTCTGCGACTCTCTTTCTTCAAAAAGTTAGGGTTAGGTTTTGTAAATTTCCTTGCATATACAAATTTCGCTTTCCAGACCTTGAAGTCTCTCTTTTGACTTTTTACACATCAAAATCAAAGCATTACTCTTAGATCTCTATAAATTTTTGTGTATATGCTGTAATTCATTTCAATTTCTCATTCCTCTTAGTTCCGAATTAAAGATTTATTCTGTATATAAATCAGAACATAGACCTACATTTTTCTTTATAGCTTGGAACTGAGGTTCAATTTTTGTGAATCATGGCGGTCCCAACGATAGCTTTGTATGCAAGTCCACCGAGTAGTGTGTGTTCAACGCCATATCCATGTCAGATCAATTCACACGCATCGTACGACTTTGATTTGAACGCTCGATCTTCATCCTTGCCGTCATCTACCGCTTCGCCATCTCAAAAACTCACCGTCGGTGGCCTTTCATGCCTATTTTCATCTCCGTCGGTGAAACACTCTTCGTCGTCGAGCTATTCGAGTGGGAGTGAAGAATTGGGATCGTTATGGCACGATAGAAACGAAGAGTTGAGTAGTTCTTTTCGATACTCCCCCTTGAATTCGTCTTTGAAACGAGACCATAGCTTCCAGAGCCTTCAGAGCCCCGTATCAGTAATTCAAGGCCCTGTGACTTGCAGTAGTAGTGTAGCTGGTTCGTCTTCGAGAAGTACCCCGATTAGATTTGCGCGCGAAAGGGATTGTGGAGATGTAAATGTGAAGAATTTTCGGGGTACGATTAAGGCGGGAAGTACTGGATTATTTAATGGATTTGTAAGGGATGCGTTGGGTTCGTGTGTTGAATATGATTCACCTACTTTCGAAGTGCACGATGTGGATTCGTCTTCTGGTTTGGTGGATGAACTCACATTTAATATTGAGGATAATTCCATGGATTTCCATTTGGAGCCATATGCTAAAGATATGCTTTTGGGTGCACAATTGAGGCACAATATATTTTGTGATGATCTTGTTGTCAAGGCTTTTTACGAAGCTGAGAAAGCTCATAGAGGGCAGGTAAGTTGATTTCTTTTTCAGCTTTTGTGAAGATTTTAATTTGCAATCTATATCTTAATGGTTTGATAATTTGATTTTGTAGATGCGAGCAAGTGGGCATCCATATTTAGAGCATTGTGTGGAAACGGCTGTTTTTCTTGCAATGATCGGTGCTAACTCCACAGTAGTTGCTGCAGGGCTTTTACATGACACGGTTGACGATTCTTTTATGAGTTATGAGGCTATTTTCCGGACATTTGGTGCTGGTGTCGCTGATTTGGTGGAAGGGGTATGAAGCATCAATTTTGTAAATGACTTGTTATTTGAAAGCTTAAGTTAACTGTGATCTTGCTTATCTAAATTTTGGTAAATGGTATGCTTGCCAATCTTATTTGACTAAGTCTTAGTTGGCACATTAACTATCTGCTAACTTTAAGATCGACGAGTAATGGTATGTTACTTTCGGCCTTTTGCCTATGTAATGTTATTGATGCTCATGGTTTTAATATCAATCAACATGATTTACAGATCCTATTTTCAGTTAATTGAGTCATCATGGATTAAAAACTAGTTGCATTGGAATATATCCTCATTGATTTCCAAAAATATGTGCCTTTTAATCATTCCAATTGGTATCATGTATAGTTTTAGCTTATAAAGCTTTGCATTGCAAAAACTTAGCTCTTTCATTGTGTCATACAGTGTCTTATGACGTAAGTTTTGTGGAAGTTGCTCCTTCTTTCCCTTTCCTTTCTCTAATTTCATCCGGGGGGACCGGTCCAATAGAGGACCCTTTGGGCGGAAACGACTGTGTTATCTTGCATTCCTCATTCGCATTAGAGACAGACAAGTTTTTTTATTTGAAAAAGAGCTCTAGAAGTTCAGTCGGTATTCTCTGATCTCTTAATTAAGATATTTAGAAATCGATATCGTGAGACTCGCCCAATCTAGTAAATGGGCTTGAATCGGTAGTTTTCTTTCTTCCTTGTAATCAGTTTATGTTTCTGTGCTGCTTTATGGAAGCCAATGAAGAGAAGAGTCTCTAATAGAATCATTTGGTCATTATAAGTTTCTAATGCTTTTTTGGGTTTGTATAGGTGTCAAAGCTAAGCCAATTGAGCAAGCTTGCACGGGATAACAATACGGCTTGTAAAACTGTTGAAGCTGATCGACTGCATACCATGTTCCTTGCAATGGCAGATGCCAGGGCTGTCCTCATAAAACTGGCTGATCGATTGCATAATATGATGACATTAGATGCATTACCCTTGATTAAGCAACAGAGATTTGCTAAGGAAACTTTGGAGATATTCGCTCCCCTAGCCAATCGTATAGGGATCTATAGTTGGAAAGAGCAGCTAGAAAATCTCTGTTTTAAACATCTGAATCCAGATCAGCACAAAGAATTGTCCTCCAAACTTATGTCGTCCTTTGATGAAGCCATGATTGCTTCTGCTGTACAGAAATTGGAGCAAGCTCTCCAGGATGGAGCCGTAATATTTCATGGTCTATCAGGGCGGCACAAAAGTTTGTATAGCGCCTACTGCAAAATGCTGAAGTATGTTATCTCTCTCTCTCTCTCTCTCTCTCTCTCTCTCTCTCTCCAGCTAATGGAGCCATCCAGTCGAATCCCTACACTGATCAGCTGGGGGGACCTCTCTTTGTCGGGTCCATATGCAGCGCATTAATGGAGCCACCCCAAATTCAGAAGCTGGAGCAACATTATTAGTGGGGGTGTTAATCGAGCTGAGTTTTGCGAGTTTGGGCCCAAGACTGATGAGTTTATTTTTCTAAGTCTAAAATGTTTTTCAAGTTTTGCTTGTTTTGAACTCGAGCCAAGCTGGAGTAACTCGACTATTTTATATATAAACGTGCTGAACTTTGCGAGCTTGAGCCGATTCTTTTCTGCTCGCTTTTCTAAACAAGGTTAAAAAATTATTCGAGTTCAACTCGTTTAGAACACGAGTCGAGCCGAGTCATAGTAGCCTGTCTCGATTAACACCTAGCTGCACTACTAGCCCGTTATGGTTGTGTGGATCTCTATATGATATTTACAAAACCTTTAAATCTGTATCCTCTGTATTTTATCGAATGTCACCAATGTGATTATACCATTTTGAAGAGTTTGTGGTATTTAAATATTTTGTAGGAAGAAGCTGACCATGGATGAAATCCATGATCTTCATGGGTTACGATTGATCGTTGAAAATGAAGAAGAATGTTATAAAGCACTAAGAGTGGTTCATCAGTTATGGTCAGAAGTACCTGGGAGGTTCAAGGACTACATAAATCATCCCAAGTGTAATGGGTATGCCATATCTCAAAGCGAAGGTGCATCAGTTTATACATCATTATTCTTATTTTAAATTAAAACTCAATTTGTAGGTACCAGTCTTTACACACCGTGGTGATGGGTGAGGATATGGTTCCAATTGAAGTTCAGATTCGAACAAAGGAGATGCATTTACAAGCAGAGTATGGATTTGCAGCTCATTGGAGATACAAGGAAGGTGATTGTAAACACTCTTCCTTTGTTCTACAGATGGTTGAATGGGCACGTTGGGTTATCACGTGGCAGTGTGAAACAATGAACAAAGACCATTCTTCCATTGGCCACATAGACTCTGTGAAGCCACCCTGCACATTCCCTTCTCATTCTGAAGATTGCCCATATTCTTGTAAACCTCACTGTGGACCAGACGGACCTGTGTATGTCATCATGATCGAAAATGATAAGGTTTGTATGGGATTTTAGTGATTTGTATTTTCTTTGCCTTTAATTTAACTGGTAATGGATTGTTAGCAAGAAAAAAGGATAACCTGTTGGGTCCGCATGTGATATATCTAGTGAAATTATGTCTGTGGGGTAAAGGATCTTTCTGATGGGCTCAATTAAATATGATCTTTCTGATGCTAGAGTAATGCAACTTCCAATCAGATTGTAACTTTGAGCCGCCAGTTTCCTCCCAGCATATTTTTGTGGCTTTTTGTTGGACATGACAAATTATTGTAATCTTTGGGCCCATGGTCCAGTAATACTGACTAGACATGCAATTTGGTGTTGGGGTGTTGCAGATGTCAGTGCAGGAGTTCCCAGCAAACTCAACCATGATGGATCTGTTGGAAAGAGCTGGTCAGGGAAGCTCTAGATGGACTCCATATGGATTTTCGGTGAAGGAAGAGCTGAGGCCAAGGAAAAACTGTGAGCCTGTTAGTGATCCTAACTGCAAGCTAAAAATGGGTGATGTGGTAGAATTAACTCCAACCATACCTGATAAGTCACTAACAGAGTACAGGGAAGAGATTCAGCGCATGTATGACCGAGGTCTAACTGTAACAGGCATGACGATGCCTGCCAGCAACAGCATGGTTGGGTGGAGAAGCTGACCCTTGGATGTTTTCCATCTTTGCAGTGTAGCATTTAGTGGCCAATTAGTTATTTGTTTATATATGATAAACATTTTTACAGACAGCTATGTAAATTTTGTTCTCGAATAATGACCAGCAAAAGGCAAAAAACTATATGAATTTTCAAAAACTATATGAATTTTAAATAAAATATGAATTTTTTTTTTGTCACCGACAAACACAAAATAACAAAAAAAAATTAGGCTAAATTTACGTAAATGAACAAGAATAAATCTCATAAAATTAGAAAGATTAAGTGAATTAATCATGTGACCAATTGAAAAGATACGTGCATAAAACGTGAGTGAAAAACGTAACTAATAATTACTAACTCAAAAAAGTGAGTAATTTTTAAACTTAATATTAAACAAAAACTTCATTTAGAATTGTCACTAATAACCTTAAAGTGTATCAAGCCACTTTTGATGGGCTACTTAAAAGATTTTGAGTAGTATAGATCAAGCAAGAGACACGAGACATAAACAGATGTGCAAATTTGCCAGATAAAAATGGTGTAATCTACAATTCTTATGCATTGTACCGTTAAACAATAACATATGTATGAAATAGTATATATGTAATGTTTCATATGTATTAGACATCTAAATTATCAAAAAAGAAAAATTATGTGGTATCATATTATAATATTGAATATCTTAACTATCACACAATCTTGTAACGGTCCACATATGATTTTTTGACAAATTAAAACAAAATGCATAAAATATAGGACTAGCACATATATTATTTTTAATCTTTACGTGTCATTCAACGATCAATTTTTTCTCACTTAATCAGTTTTATGAACGAAGACTTGACAGTGAATGATTCATAGAGATTACAGTCGTTGGGAGATGTACAGACACTTTGATCATTTGATTGGGAGGAGACATATCAAGGTCGGGCCTAGGGGCCCAATTTAGAGGCATACTAAGGTCGAACATTAAATAGTGCCAAGAGCCCAAAAATATAAGGGCCCAATTTATTTTTCAGTCGTTAGTTCAAATTCATGTTCTAAAGTCTTTTTGAATGAATTAAGTTAAAAGACAATATATTTCACAAATATATGTAAAGCAAAACCCTAAAAATACAACAATATTTTTACAAGTCTATGTAAAATTTTCTAGAAGTCTTATAAAAAAATCTAAAAATAACAATTTTTCTCAAATTACTTTCGCTCTATTTTCATCCATTCTCACCGTCTCTCTTCAAGTCTTTTTCTCCCTCTCACTCTGCTTTTTATTCTTATTTCTCTGTAAAATATCTAATAATTATAAACTTTTATTTTTATTATCTTCCTATCTAATAATTATAATTTTTATTTTTATTATCTTCCTAAAATATTGTTTTGTTTTAAACCTTAATTTGTGTTGGGCCGTCTAACTATCTACTATGCAATTTTGAAGATGCTAGCGAAAATAATTCTCATCCTTTTCTCCATCCGCCCCTACACACCATTCTCCCTTTCGTTGTGCACAAAGACATCAAATCCCAAATGCAGCCCATTTCTGTCCAGAGTGAAGCTTTTTCGAATTCGAAGCAATGCGAAGCTTTTTCGAATTTGGAGCAATGCGAGTTGGTTGTTGAAGATGAAATGGTGAAAGATCTTTCAGAGGAACCTGATGATGCTTCAAAGACACGCAAACCCACCCAGGAAAATCCAAAAATAGATGAGCAACAAAAGAAGCTCTTGATCTTGATTCTTGGGATAACCTTTCCAAGATTTTGAGCTTCATTGGTGGCTCGAATCTCGGCGTGTTAGGATTCAAGAAAGAAAATGCTGAAAGGTATGTGTGATAAAACCTTTAGTTCTCTAAAAGGGGAGGAGGAACAAGACAAGGTATCGGTGAAACTGGAATCTTGCATAATTAAAGGCATCAAGCACACCTTTCAGGCCTACCTTTCAAACTCGATAAGCATTTTTTAGTCCTGACACGTCGAGATTCAAGACAGCACTGAAGTTCAAAATTTTGGAAAAGCTATCCCAAAAATTGAGATTGATCATCTACTTTTGGATCTTCCTCGGTGGGTTTGCGTGTCTTTAGAGCATCATCGGGTTGCTCTGGAGGAGCTTCGTTTTCATCGACCACAGTTTCGTCGACTTTTTGCTCCAAATTCGGAGGAGTTTCACCATGGACAGAATTAGGTTGTATTTGGGATTCGATGTTTGTGCACAACGAAACGGGATGGGGTGTGTAGGGGCAGAAGAGGATGAGAATTATTTTCACTAGCATCTTCAAAATTGCATAGTAGACAGAAGGGGACATTTAAGTTGATTGTTGAGGTACGGCTCTACATGCTTGTGTAATTCGTTACTAAGATCACTTTCACCCGCGGGGGGGGGGTGGGCACTGACATAGGAAACTATATGAGAGAAACAGGAAGGATAGTAACAAACTATATGCAAGCACCAAAACTAGCTCGATGGAACCAAAAAAAAAACCATTAACCATAATAAAGAGTGCTTTCTATCAGATTTTAACATTGGTGTGAAAATATCTTCCTCATTATAATGTGAGATTAATCAAGTTTGTTCAACTAATATCTTTCTTATGAATTACCATTACCCAGTAAAGATAAAAATGTGCAAATTACATCGACTTCCTCCTTAATGTACTTGATCAACTCTCATCTTGGACGTTTAGCTCCAAGAGGAAAGGATACTCGTTGAGGAGTATTTTGCTGCATATTATCTGTCTTCTGTTCTTGGGAAGGGTTTGGGCTAGGATCAATACCCTCTTCATCCTCTTCCATTTCTTCAACAGGTTGGCTAGTATGCTTCTTAAGAATTGCAAGCTGGTAGTTCGGGTTGATCAAAGTATCCTGCTCAGGAGGAAGTGGGACCGCAGGCCCAGCTATTGACTTTGGCAACGGGATTTTGTTCCTGTTCCTAGCCAACTCAAGTAGCACCTGAGAGTGGTTGATTAAAATTTGTCATGCACGCATCAAATCAAATCACAGATAGACACGCACATGCAATCTTTAGACAAGAAACATTAGATATACCCTTGAGCAGAGAGAAACTTATTTTACCATTAAATTTATAATACTGGTGACTCAGCAACAAAAGCTCATACCAAGCTTTGAGTACCTCGGTGGTTATGCCCAAATGGACTGACCCTGAGATTGAGGGTTCAAGCATTGGTATCTCCTTCCTTCTCTCACCAACAAAAGCTCATAAAATTCAGTTAAAGATCAATTCCAAACAGTATGGACACCTGATGCAGTTCATAAGAAGCTTAAGCAAGAATCCATTCTCTTTCTTTTTTCTTTTGACCATAAGAAAGAGTGAATTCAAGGGAGAGATTTCGGAATTTATCTTGATTCCAAAACAAAGCTCACTTGGGAACATCCTTGTTAGAATGCAGCTGGTCCATTTATTATATGATTCCCTATATTTTATGAGTCCAGGGCACTGTTATTTAAGGCGCAAGGCGCACTAAGGTGCAAGGCGCAGAGAGGCCTCATCGAAGTAAGGCGCAAGTTATAGATAACATGCAAATGATTTTTCAAAATATGACGTAACATCAAAAACACAAAATATAAGAAAATATTCAAAAACTGCAAACATTATAAAATATCCAAATTCCCAAATTTTCAAACAGAGGCTAACTTCAATAAACAGAGTCTCATTTCATAAACACATGCGTTTGTTGAAACGACTTAATTTAGATAAACAAAACTTTTTATTACAGAGACAAAGCTCTTACTTCTCAACTTCCCATTTAAGCAATGTCAATCCATATGAACTATGACCATAATAAAGCATTCAACCAACAATTTTCAGAAACCAGTTCAATTACTCATTAGAACAAAGCGATATCATTTATCAAAACAGAAAATCAATTAATTAAGTCCAAGAAAATAGGACAAGTATGACACTTGAATTCAGAGAAGAGGTGACTCTTAGCACTTTCTTTTGGCATTGAGTTGGGTCAGATTAGATTTTATAATGTTTTCTGTATCACTCACAACCACACATCTGCACAAAGATAATGACCTGCATGCATCTGGAAGAGAAAAGACAAAACAAAAAATTTTCATTAAAGCGCGCTTGATAGGCAACTTGGTCCTTGTGCATAAGTGCACTAGGCGTGCATTATTCATGTGGTCTTGCCTGGTTTTGGAAAGGCGCTACAGCTGGGACTTGCTGAACCTTGGGCATAGGCACAAGCTTAAGGGGCCTTTAACAACACTGGTCAAGGGAATTTCTGTAATTTTAAAAATCTCTGGTCAAGGGCTTACTAGTGGTCTATGGGCCTTATTGTAATAGTATTCGGTTTTGTTGGGTTTTAAACTTCAATTTACAGGTTTAGCACAAAAGTCCAGGTTTCCAAGTTGAGAATCCGTGCAATGCTTTGAACATAACAGATGTCATTTTTAGAGGATATTTCAGTAACTTTTAAAAGCTCTTTTAAGTTTATGTAATGTAACACAAACCTCAGTGCGTCAGGTTGTAATGCAACTCAAACTTAGGTGTGATGCCCTTACTTTGTGCACTTTAAAACAATCAATCTTTAGAGAAAATTCAATATTTCCACTGATTCTCTTCAACAAAACTTCAAACTAGCCTTTTAATATTCACCCCAACCCCCAAAAAATTATGCTGATAATATTCACCATACCATGAAACTAACTCTAGAAATCCTAACTCAAAGCACATTGCTTCCCACCCCATTTTAAGTGGGAAAGGGAGGGTAGTAAAGTGCATATCTCTAATTGGTAGCACATTCTGTCAGTAACCCTGCATTAGAAGTCGTATAATGCAGAACTGCTTTCTGCTCCGCCTGAATTCCAT